CACTTTACACTGTTTTGCTTTTTTTTTTTTTTTTTAGACAGGGTCTTACTCTGTAGCCAAGGCTGGAGTGCAGTGGTGTGATCTCTGCCTCCAGGTCAAGCAATTCTCCTGCCTCAGCCTCCAGAGCAGCTGGGATTACAGGCACATACCACCAGGCCTAGCTAACTTCTTGCATTTTTACTAGAGACAGGGTTTCGCCATGTTGGCTAGGCTGGTCTCAAACTCCTGGCCTCAAGTGATCCACCTGCCTCAGCCTCCCAAAGTGCTGGGATTACAGGCATGAGCCACCACACCCAGCCACTGTCTTTATTCAGATAGCTTTTTCTCACCTGCTTCCTTACTCTGCTCCTCTGTGATATGAAGTCAGGTATGGTTTAATTTCAAGATTCAATATTCTAGTCATGAAATAAAACAAGTCTGAAATCCTTTTCCAGTAAATATCTACTCTTTAGACACACAAATAACAACTGCACACTACACTTTAAAAAATATTTGTTTTAAGATTAAATGCAAGCCAAAAATCACCATAAGGTGACATTTTTGTCCTAAAATGTAGTGCAAGCCAGAAACCTCCAAGGGAGAGACAGTAAAGAATAGTGATTGAAAGCATTCTATGCTTCGGAGGCAGTCAAGCTGGGTTTGAACCCTGGCTGTCCCCCTCTAAGCTATGTGGCCAATATTGGGACTTACTTTACCTCTTTAACTTTGGTAAAACAGGAACAACAAAAATACCTACTATAGAGGAGTGCTGCGGGGATAGACACAAAAGAATGCGATAAAAATGCTTAGTACAATGTTTGGTACATACTGAGTGATAAACATGTATTAGTTATTATTACTCTCTCTCTCTTTTTCTAATTCGAGAGACAGGGTCTTTCTGTGTTGCCCAGGCTGGAATGAACTCCTGGGCTTAATGATACTCCCACCTTGGCCTTCCAAAGCAGTGGGATTACAGGCATGAACTACCACATCTAGAAAAGCCATGTAGAATGGTAATCTAACTTTACTATTTAGAATTCCTAAATAGAAATTATTTACCTATACATGGATAATAATGTTTTCTTTATATATCTCATTTAATATTTTCTTGGGGAATTTTATAAACTATTGATTTTTTACAACTACAATTCATTGTAAAAATGATATTAGTTATTAAGAAAAAAAATGGCCAAGTGAGGTGGCTCAAGCCTGTAATCCCAGCACTTTGGGAAACCAAGGCGGGTGGATCACCTGAGGTTGGGAATTTGAGACCAGCCTGGCCAACATGGCAAAACCCTGTCTCTACTAAAAATACAAAAATTAGCTGGGCAGGGTGGCACATGCCTGTAATGCCAGCTACTCAGGAGGCTGAGGCAGAAGAATCACTTGAAGCCGGGAGGCAGAGGTTGCAGTGAGCTGAGATTACGCCATTGCACTACAGCCTGGGCAACAAGAGCTGGACTCTGCCTCAAAAAAAAAAAAGAATTAAAGTAAGATCTGATAAATGAATACTGAAAAGCAAGAATGCCCATATTGGCTATGCACAGTGCCTCATTCCTGTTATCCAGCACTTTGGGAGGCTGAGGCAGGTGGATTGCTTGAGCTCTGTCATTTGAGATCAGCCTGGGCAACATGATGAAACCCTGTCTCTACAAAAAATAGAAAAATTAACTGGGCATGGTGGTGCACACCTGTAGTCCCAGCTACTCAGAAGGGTGAGGTGGGAGGATCGCTTGAAACCAGGAGGTGGAGGCTGCAGTGAGCTGAGATCACACCACTGCACTCCAGCCTGAGTGACAGGGTGAGACCTTGTCTCAAAAGAAAAAAAAAAAGAATATCCATAATTTTTGTTCAGACAACTGCAACTAGCACCTATTAATTACTTGCAATTATATTTATAGTATTGTAGATTAAATTGTCACTGGCAATCTCATAGGCAGTAAGATAGTCTTAATAAGGATAAGCATATAATTAAATAGGAGCTCTTAAAGACTCCTGGTAACATTTTAATTGGTTTAACCTTCTGCCTAGGAGCTGGCAATTGGTATTCAGTAAAAGCTATAAAAAAGTAATATTATTGGACCTAGAAATAGCCCCAAAGAGGTTATGAATGATGTTAATTAAATTCTTTTTGTTGTTCATTTTTTGGGTAGCAGCTTTATTATTATATAACTCAAACACTGTAGAAGTAATCTATTTAAAGTATACAATTCAATGGTTTTTAGTACAGGTTGCATGTTCCTAATACAAAAATATGACATGTTTCAAAATCCAAAACTTTTTGAGTGCCAACATGACACTCAAAGGAAATGCTCATTTTGGATTTTCAGACTAGGGATGATCAATTAGTAAGTATATAATGTAATAAAAACATTTCCAAATCTGAAAAAATCTAAAATTCAAAATATGTGTAGTCTCAAATATTTTAGATAACACTCAACCTGAATATTTAGTGTTGTGCAACCATCAACAGAATCAATCTCAGAACATTTTTCCCATCTCAGAAAGAAGCCTTCAAAAAAATTAGTTGGGCATGGTGGCATGCTGCTGTGGTTCCAGCTATGCAAGAGGCCGAAGCAGGAGAATTGCTTGATCCTGGAAGTCAAGGCTACAGTGAGCCATCTTCATGCCATTGCACTCCAGCCTGCAGCCCTCGTGACAGAGCAAGACGCTCTCTCCAGGAAAAAAAAGCTGAAAGTCAAAAACAAGGAGAAAATTTTGAAAGCAGCCAGAGGAAAACGAATCTTCATATTTAAGGGAACTTCAATAAGATAAAGAGCTATCTCCTCAGGAAAAAAAAGAAAAAAGAAAAAAAAAAAAAGAAAAGAAAAAAAGAAACTCCAACATCATTTAACTATCATTCCCTAATCCCATGCCTGCCCCTAGCCCTAAGCAGCCACTTAATTACTTTCTGTCTCTATATATTCGCCTATTCTGGACATTCATATAAATGGAATCATAAAATATGTGGTATTTTGTGACTGGTTTCTTTCATTTAGCATGCTTTCAAAGGTTATGTATGTTATAGCACATATTAGTACTTCCTTTTTATGGCCCAATAAAATTCCACTGTATAGGTTGGGCGTGGTAGCTCATGCCTGTAATCCCAGCACTTTGGAGAGGCTGAGGAGGGAGGACTGCTAGAGACCAGGAGTTTGAGACCAACCTGGACAACATAGTAAGTCTCAGAGCACTCCAAATTGGGCCATGGAGCCAGACCCCGCCTCTAAAAGAAAAAAAAAATCCACTGTATATAGATTTATCACATTTGATTTATGCATTCACCAGCTGATGAACATTTAGGTTATTTCATTTTTGGCTATTATGAATAATACTAACATCTGTAAACAAGTTTTTGCATGGATAAATATTTTCATTTCTCTTGGGTATATATCTAGGAGTGGAATTTGCATTATTCTTATTGAAGTGAAAATCACAAGCAATTTCATAGTCTAACAATGCAATTATGCTACGCTCTCAATAGTGTTATGCAGAAATGCTACACTCTCAAGAGTAACATGCAGAAAAATGGTGACTTTGTTGAATGAAGACCATATAGTAGGCTACATGAAGTGAAAAAAAGAAAAAAAAAGGATACAACCCACTTGAAATCCTCCTGGGGCTTCCAATGGGACTTTCCATTCCCTCTTCTGTTCTATGGCATCTGTCCCCTGCTTTCACATCCTGCCTCAGTTGTCTGAGGGCCAGCCACACTAGCTTTCAGAGATTTTTAGAATGTCTCAGCTTCGGAGCCTTTTCACATTGCTTCCTCTGCCTGTATCATTCTTTGCCCAGTGCTTTCAAGTCTCACCTTAAATGTCACTTCTTCAGAAAAACGTTCTCTGATACCAGGCAAAAGGCCAGTGTTTCCAAAGCAGCCGGCGATTTTCCATCTTAATGGTTTTGATGCTAGAATTGTTTACTTGGTCAAATATTGAGATCCTTCTATATGCAGGGATACAGGGTGAAACAAAACATGCAAGATCCCTGCCATCTGCAACCTTATATTCTAGGGAGGGGAATACATGTACAAGTGAATAATAAATGTACTTGGTAATTTTAAATAGTGATAATTAGCTCAATGGTTATCCTCTGTTTGGACTGCAAACTCCATGAAGACAGGAGCTATGTCTGCCTTGGCTACTTTCAGTTTGCTAAAAGTCCGGCCACTAAAGCTCAATAAATATTTTTTCACTGACAGTTAAAATAGGTATATAAAAGAAATGGGGGAAAAAACGGTACTTCTATAAATGGTTGAGATCTAGCCCTTCTCTTCTTTTAAATTTTAATTATTTAAAAATATGTAATACCACACATTTTTAGATAATTAACAATTAAAATAGCAAAAAGTTACCATTTGTACTAACAGAACCCCAAATAAACCCATTTACGTCACCACACATTCATTAAGCACCTGTTAATAAAGCCTATTCTGAAATAGTCTGACGTGTTGGTTAAGTGGATAAAATACCCTTGGCGAGGCTGGGCGCGCAGTGGCTCATGCCTGCAATCCCAGCACTTTGGGAGACCGAGGTGGGTGGATCACGAGGTCAGGAATTCAAGAGCAGCCTGGCCAAGATGGTTGAAACCTCGTCTATACTAAAAATACAAAAATTAGCCGGGAGTGGGGGCAGACGCCTATAATCCCAGCCACTTGGGAGGCTAAGGCAGAGAACTGCTTGAACCGGGAGTGGAAGGTTGCAAGGATCCGAGATCGCGCCACCGCACTCCAGACTGGGCGACAGTCTCAAGGGGGAAAAAAAAAAAATCCCTTTGGCGCATTGCCAAGCAGGTTCCTCGCCGTCAGCAGCATAATTTATGGTTTTCGCTGAGGCTTTGAGTATCCATGATATGACTCTCCCTAATTTTCCGATTTCTAAAACCCTTCAGAATCTCCCTCCACCCACACGCTGTGGCAGCGAGAAAAACCGCATTCTATTTACACGTCAACGGTAAGAAGAGAACACATATTTTGCTAGGTCAACAAACCATGCAAGATCTCCACCCGAGAGATCAGTAGCCCCTTTCCAGTGAACCCTTCTAAGAGCCTGGAGATGAGTAAGGCTGGATAGAACCAAGCTACGCTAGGCTGGACCAGGAGAGCCGACCGTGAGAACCCTTCCCCCAAGCTCAGCGCTCGGCCGCTTCTTTCTTCCCCGGGCGCCTGCGCAGCGCACTCTCCGGCCACCGCACGCCTCCTCAGCAGAGCCTGGAGACGCTGACGTCACCGCGCAGACTGCAAGCAACCCTTCGCTCCTTCAAGGAAAATGAGTCCACGCACCTTCGGCTTTTCTTAGCCCCCAGAAAATGTCCTCCCTCTTTCCATCCCAGTGCCAACGACTTCCCCAGCCCGTCTCCTTTTGGCGGGACTTCTCCGTACTTTCGTTGGGCCCCGAAGGCGGCGGAGAGGAAGAGAAAGGGTGAAAGACCAATTCGCGTTGTTTACAAGGAGTAGGCGAGTCTAGGAATCGATCCGCGAGGGCGGAGCCGAGGAAGCCGGCACTTCTTCCTCCCTTCCCCTCCCTCCCCAGCCTTCCCCGCGGGCGGACGCGGCAGCGCCTCTGCCTCGCTTTTTCTTATTTTTTTCCCCCCCTTTCCCCTTTCTTTTTTTTTTTTTTTTCCCTCCCCCACTTTCACCATTTCCCCTCGGAGGCGCTTTCCCCGGGCAGGGGCAGAGCCGGTCTCACCCCCCGCCTCTCCCCGGCCCCCGCCGCCCTATGGCGAGAGGGAGCCCCCTCCCCACCCGGGCTCGAGCGGCCGCGGCCTCAGGCCGGGGGTCATCATGGAACTAATTCGCTGACGAACCCAGAGGCCGCAGCTGTGCGTCCCGCTCGAGCGCTAGCGCCCGCGTCCCCCGGCCCGCTTCCGCCTCTTCTCCCTTCTCAGTCAGCCCCGTCGTCCCGCGCGCATCGCCGCCGCGCGTCGAGCAGAATGAGGTGGTAACGGGCCCCCGGATGACCCCTCGTCACCATTGTGAGGCCTACAGCTCTGCCGGGGAGGAGGAGGAGGAGGAAGAGGAGGAAAAGGTGAGGGGCGGGGGCGGGGGGCTTGACGCGTCTCCGCGGCCGGCGCCGACGCGCTGGGGCCCCGCAGCTCCCACTGCGCCACCCGAGTGGCAGCACCCGTAGGTGGCTCTGCTTGCCGGTGACCCGCCCTCCCGCATCCCCCCCACCCCGGTGAACCTCGGGGCCGCCCTCTCGTCCTCCCGCCCCAAACAGACCTGGCACCTGCCCAGTTGAAAACGGCCCTACTGTGTTCTCTTTAGGGCCAGTTTTTGTGTTAGCGAGTAACGTGTGTGTGTGTGTGTGTGGCAGCAGCAAATTACCTACTCTATAGTGCGTGTTGGAGGCTCGGCGAGCCTGTGTTTATACACAAAGAAGGGACACGCCCCCACCTTCAGCCTGAACGGTCCTGCGGGGACTCCGGGAAGATGCCTAACTTTGCAAAGCGGAGTCAATGCCAAGTGAATGGGGTGAAACTCCGGTGCTGGGAAATTCGGGGGAGGGCAACATTACCCAGGGCTTGGGGCGGGTGAGTAGGGAAATCCGGAGGAGGTGAGATTTGAGTTGTACCCAAAAAGCCAGATTAAATACCGGAATTTGAAGGAGGGCAAATGGGCCTCTGATGGAGCTGGGGTTCGTTGCACATCGTTTTGGCAGAAGTTGAGAATTGGGTAGCACAACAGTGGGAGGCGTTTCGGGAGGTAGAATGGATTCAGACTCTGAACTAAAATATTTAGATTTTATTCTGTCAGTAGGGAGCCACTCTGTGTTGAGCAGCAGAGCATTACAATAATGATGTTAAATAACAACACTTGAGGCTTATCTGCCAGGCATTCTCCTAAGTGGCTTGCAATTCATTTAATCCTTCCAAGGCTGGTAGTAGGAGCCTCATCTTACGGATGAGGAAAACTGAGACCTACAAGATTAACTTTCTCCTTAGGCAACAGGGCTAAAACCCGGTAGCCAGAATTAAGTCTGACTCTACGCTGTGTGGTCTCTGACCTGAGAATGGATTTGTTGAAATAACTGCTAGCTTTTCTAGGTCGTTTGTGGCAGATGAAATAGAAAGGATTGGTCAAACAGATTAAGAAATAATGGATGGAATAGATTTAGATTGGTTAATTTGGGACCAGAGAATTTCAGAGAGATTCTGAGCCTCTGGACTAGAAATTTCTTAATACTGATGAAGTATCAAGAAATACACAATCAGCATGTGTTAGGGAAGTTCAGTAAAGTTGATCTGCAGTTACAGATAGTGAGTTTATGTGGTAATGTGACATCCTAGTAGGTTAGAATGGGTCTTACAATGTGTCTTGCTCAAGATTGGAAGCTGAGTCTGTGTTTTATTTTGATTGTGTAATACATTAAAAATAAACATCTTCCTGTGTATGTTTCTTCGTCTTTAAAATGGGCTTTATGGCTGAAATGGGGGTGTAGTGAAAAAATTAAAAACTAGAAAAAAATGGACTTACTAATACCAATTTCATGAAGTTGTGGGAAGATTACATGAGTTAATATGGCATAGCACTTTGAACAATAGGTGGCCAAGTAGTAAGCACTGGGCGCTTTACTTGTTAAGCTTTTTACAAGTGAAGCTGTTATTTATTAGGCATAATGCTAAATTCTGGAGATGGACATCAAAGAATTCATTATAATAGGAAAGGCAAGTCTTCCAATCACAAAGCAATTAAATGTAAAAGTAGAATTATGTCCAAGTACAGATGAAGGAAGGCAGGGCACAACTGCACAAATTTAGAGTCTTACAGACTGATGGCAACTTTAGGAAGGTAGGTATGAGCCAGGGGACATTTAAAGTTGAAAGAACAGTTTTCGTACATCCTTGGAGATCAGGAAAGTACATCCTTGGAGATTCCAGGAAACTTGGAATTGCAAGTACCTTTAATTTATTGTTTCTAACGCATAAAGTCAAGGAGGGAATGGTAGAACTTCAGGTGTCTTGTATGGTCACATTAATCCCTCCTTTCAGAATGGGAACTAAGATTCAGAACTCATCACCAGTACAGGATTATTAATGGAATTGGTATGATGATGATAGTAAATACAATAATACATATTAGTGAAGTTGTTTATATTGTATACCCAGCACTGTGCAGCACTTTTCCTCGGAGCAGCAGGGGGCCGTGTATATATATCTGAAGTAGTTATGCTGTACAATAAGCATTACCTATTACCTCAGACATTTGATAAGCGTGGAGAAAGGAGAAGCAGCAGCAATTGAGCAAATGGGAGGAGAAATGTGAAACTGGTTTAAACTTGTATGTGTGTAAAAAAATGCCAACCAAAATATAGTCTTCTGTTATTTCCTGCTTTTCTAAAAAGCATGCAAAATTGGATGTGACCAACAATTAGGCTTACAGTAACAAGATAGAACTATATAGTTGTTTTTTAAAACAGTAAAATTGTATTTTAAATGTTCACATTTTATTTCTTAGCAGAATTTATTAATCTAACTAAATGTGTGTTTCACATTAGAAAATAGGCTTTTGTTTTGTCAGTAAAAAAAAACCAAAGCCCGTGATTTCTGTATCATAGTATGTCTTACTGGTCTTGTCTTTTGTTCTCTTTATGTAGAACATACATATGACCCTTTACTGCTAAATATTTCACAAGAATAGTAATATTCTCTTATGGAATCACAGCGAATTTTTCATTTTTGGTAAATTTAGCATTCGATACATTGACTTGTGTAATCTGTCCCAATTATGTCATTTGACCCACTAATGACCTTTACACCATTTGTCTCCTTCCAATACAGCATTCAGTTGAGGATCAGGTATTGCAGCTTCTTTTCTATATTTGTGTTTATTTTCTTCAGACAGTTTCCCTCTGTCGTGCAGGCTATAATTCAGTGGCATGATCTCGGCTCACTGCAACCTCCACCTCCTGGGTTCAAGCAGTTCTCCTGCCTCAGCCTACTGAATGGCTGGGACGACAGGCATGCACTGTCTTGCCTGGCTCATTTTTGTATTTTTATTGGAGACAGGGTCTTACTATGTTGGCCAGGCCGGTCTCAAACTCCTGGCCTCAAGTAATCCACCTACCTTGGCCTCCCAAAGTGCTGGCATTACAGGCATGAGCCACCCCGTGCAGCCAATTTTTCTATGGTCTCATTGAATCTGTAGCATCCCCAAAGGTATCCCCCATTGTTTTTGTCTTGCAATTATTTGTATCCTGTTTTAGTTTTTTCTTTTTAAGAGATTATCACTTTGTTGCCCAGGCTGGAGTGAGGTGGTATAATCATAGCTGACTGCAGCCTCAAGCTCCTTAGCTTTCGTAGTCCTCTCACCCCTGAACCTCCTGAGTAGCTAAGTCAGCAAGCAGGCGTGCAACATCATGCTTGGCTAATTAAAAAAATTTTTTTGGTAGAGACAGGGGTCTCACTCTGTTGTCCAGGCTGGTTTCAGACTCCTGTCCTTGAGTGCTCCTCTCACTTCTGCCTCATGTAGTTCTGGGATCACAGGCAAGCACTCACCATGCCCCACCTTTTGTCCCATTTTTTAAAGTTTAAGGAAATTTTAACTTTTTTGTTGTTGTTGTTAGTTTTCTCTAGAGTGACCAAAGAGTGATTCCTTTTTTTTTTTTTTTTCTATTTATAATGTATTGCATTTATTTCTGAATCTTGAAACAAGCTTGCATTCCTGGAACAAATCCCAGTTGGTTGTGGTATATAATCCTTTGTTTATATCGCTGGATTCAGTTTGCTAGTATTTTGTTGAGAAATTTTGCATTTCAGAAGAAACACCAATCTATAGTTTTCTAGTGATGTCTGTCTGGTCTTGGTAGCAGGGTAATAACTGACTTCAAAGAATAAATTGGGAAGCATTTGTAAAGAATTGCTGTCAGTTTTTCTGAAAATGGTTGGTAGAATTAACCAGTGAAGCCACCTGGGCATGGATTTTTCTTTGACGGTGCTTTAAAAAATTACTATTTAAAAAAATTACCATTTAAATCTTTTGTTATACAACTACTCAGCTTTTTTATTTCTTTTCTTTTTTTCTTTTGGAATTATCTCACCAGTGCAGGTTTTTATTTCTTAAGTTTTGGGATTTTTTATTTCTGGAAACTGGACTAATTCATCTAAATTTTCCTATTTAGTTGCATATAGTTGTACATAAAAGTTTTTTTTATAATTTTTCTTTTTCTTTTTTATTAGTATAATTTTTATTTCTGTAAGCTAGGTAATGATGGCCTGTTTTTATTTCTGATTTAGTAATTTGTCCTCTGTATTTTCTTGGTCAATCTAGCTGGCTAAAGGTTTGTCTATTTTGATCTTTTCAAAGAATCAGCTTCTGGTTTCATTGACTTTTCACTGCAGTTTTTGTACTCTCTACTTCATTAGTTTCCATTCTAGTATTTAGTATTTCCTTGCTTCTGTCTTGCTTTTGGAACAATTTACTTTTTTTTTTCCATTATCTTAAAGGTGGAAGATTAGGCTGTTTATTTGAGATGCCCTTTTTTAGTAGAGGCATTTTAAGGAATTATTTCTAAGCACCGCTTCAATTGTATCTGATAAGTTTTGGTATGTTGTCTTCATTTTCTTTCATCTCAAAGTATTTTCTGATTTCCCTTGTGACTCTTCTTTGACCAGATACCTTTGTTTTTTTTTTTTTTCTTTTTGAGACGGAGTTTCACTCTTGTTACCCAGGCTGGAGTGCAATGGCGCAATCTCGGCTCACTGCAACCTCCGCCTCCTGGGTTCAGGCAATTCTCCTGCCTNGAGTGGCTGGGATTACAGGCACGCACCACCATGCCCAGCTAATTTTTTGTATTTTTAGTAGAGACGGGGTTTCACCATGTTGACCAGGATGGTCTCGATCTCTTGACCTCGCGATCCACCCGCCTCGGCCTCCCAAAGTGCTGGGATTACAGGCTTGAGCCACCGCGCCCGGCCCAGATACCTTTGTTTTAAAAAAATTTATTACAATTTAAATATTTGAAAGTCATACTGAGGGCTTTAATTGTAGGCAATTGGAGAACACGAATCCTTTGAACCTAGTTTAATCCTTTTCACGTGTGTGTGTGTGTGTGTGTGTGTGTGTGTGTGTGTCTCTGTGTCTCATGTGTCTCTCTCTCTCTCTGCACGTGCCTGCAATCTCAGTGACTCAGGAGGCTGAGGGAGGAGAATCACTTGAGCCTAGGAGATGGAAGTTGCAGTGAGCCGAGATCGTGCCGCTGCACTTCAGCCTGGGCAACAGACTGAGACTGTTGTCTCAAAAAAAAAAAAGGCAAAAAAAAAAAAAATGATTTTAGACTGCATTTATGGTAAAATTAAAGCTAATTTAGAAGAGGTAAAATATTGTGAGGTACTATCAAAGTTTTCAGCTATGAAAAAGATGAATTGGTGAGCATGACAGCACCCTTCAAAGATGGGAAAGATTGGTGTGAAAGAGATTAGATTTTGTTGGGTTAAGGTTCTGAACAAGGATGTATCAAAAGAAGGTACCAAAACTCCACATACAGTGGGTTGGGGCAGGTGTGGGTAGAGTTTTGTTTTTGGTTGTATGTTTTTGTTTTGGGCCTCAGCAGTTGAAACTAGAACAATTGATTGGGTCTCTGTTTTGTCAGAGTACTGTGGTGTGGACGCAGTGAGTAACAAAAAGATGATATTGGCAGATGTGACTGCAAAGGAATTTCTTTATTTAGAGAAGGGTCTCATTCTGTTGCTGGGGCTGGAATGCAGTGGCATGATTTTGGCTCACTGCATCCTCAACCTCCCAGGCTCAAGCCTTCCTTCCACCTCAGCCTCCCAAGTAGCTTGGACCACAGGCACACACCACCATGCCTGCCTAATTTTTGGATGTTTTATAGAGATGGAGTTTTACCACGTTGCTGAGGCTGGCGTTGAACTCCTGGATCCACCTCAGCCTTCCAAAGTGCTAGGATTACAGGCACGAGCCACCGTGCCTGGCCAGGAATTTATAATCTAGTTGGGGAATTAGTGGAAAGCTGCTTTATGACATGATTAAAGAATCAAGAGTTTTTAAAAGAAATTACCTTTGAGATAGGTCTTTTTGGATTAGTATTAGTTCTTTTTCCTTAGTTATTTATACTTCATTGTCTTAGTATGAAAATATTTCATGCTAATTTAAGATTTGCAAAAATGCAGGAGTTTAAAGACGTAAAAATTAACAAAATCATAATTTAGTTAACCAGAGTTAATCCCTGGCAAGTTGAGAAGCAAGTAGGTAGCTTATGTGAAGTAGTACATAGGAAAGAGGATAGTAGATGGAGGTGGGATAGAATGGAAATGAAAGAACTGGTTTGCTGTTTTTGGCTTTTTCAAATTTTTAAATTAAAAAAAAATTGGAACTCTTCACATGTTAATTCTGGATGTTTTAAAAAATTCTTAGAGGCCATAAATCTGAAGTATGTAATATAGCTACATTGAGAAGCTAATATAGCTATAGTTGAGAAAGTCAAATCGTTAGCGAAATTTATAATGAAAAACAGCATTCTCCTACTCTAGGCTTTTCTCACCCTTTTCTTACTCCGCAGAGATTAGCCACCGCCAACCCTCTCCTGCTTCTCTTGTTATTTAGGATCACATTTTCAAATAACTTGCCCTACTGCTGTTTTTGACATTTCAGTTTGAGATACATGGATTTTCTACTATGAAATGTAAAGACGTGGCTTTTATTTTACCCTTTTCCAATATCCATAGTTATGTCTCCACGTCCTCCCAATGTAGTTATGTTGAGATCCCTATTCAGTGTTTTCACTAGTATTGTTGTATAAATATTGTGATATATTATTTACTTTCTTAAAATCTTTTTCTGAAGTTAATTACCTTTTTGCTTAGTTTTCAACAAATCTAGCTAAACCTTTTCACATTCTTTAGCAATTTCTTTTCTTTTTTTTTTTTTTTTTTT